GACACTTTATGGGGTGGCAGTGCATACAGTCACACGACAATGTATAATGTAGTACGAGAAACTCTCAAAGTAAACATTCAAACAAAATGCATATAGCAATGGAACGATATAACGACATAAGCGATAAGCGACATGAGCGATAAGTGAGTATTAAGTGATAAGCGAGTACAAAACCAAAATGACACGTCTTGCACAGCTCAATCGAGAGCTCACAAAAACGAAACAGGTAGAAACTCGAACAGCGCTAGACAGGTAGAAACATCTCTTACGACTCTTGTCATCAGAAGCTCAACTATTCTGCTGATTTTTCCGGATTGAACCCTCTCCTGTTTCCAGATCTCCTAACATCTTCTTCAGGTATCTACATAGCTGCTCTTCATATTTATCTTGTTTTCTGCAAGTGCAGTTAAAGAACGATTTTTTGCATCTGGAATTTTGTCTCCTTCCCGCGCCCGGGCCATCGCATTGGACATGCAGGTAGCTGGTCACAGCCGAGCACACTAACAGGTGGTAAGCGCCATACTATTACGTCACAATGCATCGGAACAATGATCACACAATGCAGCCACTCCAAATTATGCTAATATGGCTGACCATTGCAATTCTCAGTACATGTACCTCTTCGTCAGCAACATCAGAAATCCACTCACCCAACAAGATATCTCATCCTGCTGTCATCAAGGGTTTCTCTAAGGCCCGCATACCGTACTACAGGAATTCGGTTGCCACTTTCTCCACACCCCTCTTGCTATGTGGTGACATAAACCCCAACCCTGGACCCAACACGACTACAAACCGATCCAATAAGAACATTTCCTGCTTGCTTTGCAACTCTCGGAGCATTCGTAACAAATGTCAAGAACTTGAACTTTACCTCAACTCCACTCCTGCCGATATTGTCTGTTTCACCGAAACATGGCTTTCTACAAATGACATGGACAGCGTTCTTGGTTTCTCTGATGATTACGTCATCATACGTAAAGACCGCTGCCAAGGACGCCGTGGCGGTGGTGTTTTGGCAGCAGTTAAGACATCATTGTCCCCCGTCAGGCTTTCCATCTACGAGCGTGATGACCTTGAGCTTGTGTGGATTTCAATCAAGCTCGGCACGGAATCCTTTGTACTTGGCCTTCTCTACAGACCTGCTTCTTCTACAGTGGCTTACTGGACAAAGCTTGGGGAGGCTATGGAAACTCTCAACATGGACGTCTTCGACGGTTGTCTCCTCTTAGGCGATTTCAACGTCAATTTCTCCCCTTCAATCACGGTTAACTCCCATCGAACTCGTCTTCTTGATATTGCCAGCAACTATAATTTAGAACAGCTCGTCCCATCCGTTACAAGACCTTGCTGCAACAATCCTAACCAGGGGTCCATCATTGATTTAGTTTTCTCCAATCGACCGGACTTCATTTCCGATGTCTGTACGGTTCAAAACCCCGTCCACTCTGATCATCTTGCAGTCCAGACTACTTTCCGATCCATCTGACCTGCCCCTCGTCCAGCGATTCTCCGGTCGTTTCTACAAACCCGACAAGGTGATTTTGACCATTTTTCGACAGCTTATCCACCTCGTTCCCTGGTCTGCCTTCATAGATACCAACGATATTAATGAATCTGCCGAGAACTTCCACGACTTACTTGACGCTGCTATCCATGATTCCATTCCAAAGGTCACCAAACGGAAATCTCGTCACACTCCATGGATTTCTCCAGAACTGAAGAACTTGATTCACAAAAAGCACAAATTGTTTAATTTAGCCCGTAAATTTGGTCGTTCATTTGACTGGATTCAGTATAAAATTGCTCGCAACACAGCTCAAAAATCCATCCGTAAGGCTTACTGGAATTATGTTAATCGTCTGTTTGAATCTGGTGACAACAGACGTAATTTCTGGTCCTTTGTCAGAGGCCGGAAACAATCTCCACCTCCTCCGTCATTCAATCATAACAATTGTAAACTGACTTGCCCTGACAAAATTTCATCTGCCTTTAGCAAATATTTCGCTTCTGTTTGTAAACAATCAGGTCCTGTTCCTGACAATCCCCCGCCTTGCTTGCTGCACATTCCCGTGCTGTCTCATATTTCTGTTTCTGCTAGCCAAATTGCTGCTTTGCTGAAAACGATTCCATCTAATAAATCTCCTGGACCTGATTGTATTTTGCCGAGTATCCTCAATACAATTTCCTCCGATTTATCCCATCCTCTTTGCTTGTTGTTTAACGCTTCGCTGAGCATTGGTCAATTGCCAGACGCTTGGCGGTGCGCTAACATTACTCCGGTTCACAAGAAAGGCGATAAGACATTGTTAACTAATTACAGACCTGTTGCTCTTACTTCCCTGCTATGTAAAGTTCTTGAGCGCATTATATCTACTGCTATAAATAATCACTTGAGCACTTTCAGTCTTCTCAATCCCCACCAACATGGCTTTGTTAAACACAGGAGCTGTGTTACCCAGCTGGTCAATATTCTTCACTCCTGGTCATCCACCCTTGATAGGCGTCGTCCCCCAAGAATAGATGCCGTTTTCTTAGACATGTCAAAGGCTTTTGACACAATGCCACATCACATCCTACTTGGAAAACTTGCTTCTTCTTTCAATGTCCGGGGTGAGTTATGGCATTTGGTTAAATCGTTTCTGACGGGTCGCATGCATTGGGTCCTCTTCCGGGGCGGAGTCTCCCCTTGGGTTAGTATCACATCTGGCGTGCCGCAAGGCAGCGTACTAGGGCCATTGTTGTTCAATCTGTTCATCAATGATGTTTCCCATTCAATTTCTTCTAGTTGTGTTTTGTTTGCTGACGACATTCTTTTGTACCGCACAATAGAATGCCCCATTGATGAACACACGCTTCAACTTGACATAAACAGGCTTAATTACTGGTCAGATTCAAACGAAATGACTTTCAATGTCAGTAAAACCAAAGTTATGCATATTACTAGATGCAGGCACTTTAACCCACAAGTGTACAGCCTAGGAACTCTCCCGATCGATACTACTCAATCGTTTCAGTACTTGGGGGTCACAATCAATTCCCAACTCTCATGGGCAACACACACTTCCTCCGTAGTCGCCAGAGCTAGTCGTATGTTAGGTTTCATCAGAACGGTTGCCAGGGTGTCCAGTCCAAACGCCATATTCTCATTGTATAAATCTCTCGTCCTCCCAATTCTTGAGTATGGTCTTCCAGCATGGCACCCACACACTTTATCTCAACAGAATCAGCTCGAAAGGGTTCAAAGAACAGCCACCCGTGTTGCTCTTCATCAAAGACGCGGAGAAATGTCTTATGAGCACAGATTACAGCGTCTAAACTGGCATCCTCTAACAAACAGGCGCAGCTACCTCCTCAGTGCCTTTGTTTTCAAGGTTTTGCATGGCACTGCTCACTGCGAAACAATCCTTGCGAATATTTCCATAAATCCTCGTCATCCTGACTCGCTCACATTTCGCCATCTCTATGCTCGTACTGAGTCCTTGTTTCACTCGGCTTCCCATCGATTCCCCAGATTGTGGGACACTGTTCCACCTGAAACTCAGGATGCTGCTGTGATCTGTCCTCTGCCAACATTTCTCCGTCAACTAAAAGACGACTGTTTAAACACTTGCTTCCTAGACGTTCACTTTTGGTGTATGCAGGTCGTGATTATATAGGCCGTGTCATGCTTCCAGTCCCTGTTCTTTGTGTTTGATTTAATCCTCTTTTCATCGTTCATCATACGTGGGGCAGCATGCTTCCGAGCAACAGTAATTCAGTTTACTTTTGTTGTCCCTGGCCCGTATGTTTCGTCGTTAGTTTTGTCCTTTGTTTGTTAAAGGGAATATACAACATTTGCAAACATCGAAAAATAAAACTACCAAGTTTTTGCGAAATACCTTAATAGGACGTTGGTAAATGTCAGTCTAAAGCATCCTGTAAAATTATGGCACCTGGTATACTGTCATTTTCAAGAAAAGTGGTATTTTTGTATCAATTTCCAACGCTGATCGGCCGATCAGCGTTGGAAACAACTGGCTTTTTTTCAAATACTGGCCCCAATTGACTATTGCACTTGTTTGCAATCGATTACAAACCTATGAACGGGTACGAGCCAGCTAGACTGGTTCCCTGACCTTACAATTCCCCAATGTATGTAAACTGCTCTGTTTCTTCTTATATGGAGTCAGGGAACCAGACTACAGGTAAATGATCGTTTTTCTTGGTTTTTATAGCATTTTCGAACCCAAAACCTCCAAAAAGTCAGTGTAACTATATTTGCTTTATATTTCCAATCCCCCAATTCCATCCATTTCTGAAAATTACAGCAAAAGCAAATGATGTATATTCCCTTTAATACTTTCCCCTTTCATGGTCTAGATCCCCTCCTGCATACACCACCCTCATTCGTTCATTCATTCATTCATTCTTTTATTCAGCCAGTCAGAGTCGGTTCCTAGTTGCTCTCTACTACTGTTTTTTTTTTTTTGTTATTTAATATGTTTTGTTATTTTATTTTATGGGTTTTTTTTTTTTTTTTTATTTTTTTTTATTGTCTACTTATTTATTGATTGATTTGTTCGATAGTTTGTTTGTTTACTTCTTTATTGGTTCTTTTTTGTTTTCCTTAATGTTCATGTATGTTGTTTTGGGTCATATTTGTTTGTAAGATTTGTCCTGGTCGAATAAATAATAATAATAATAATCAAAGTGACTCTTCCTCAGCTTACTGTAGAGGCATTATCAGTTGAGTTGGTGGCCTCAAAGTACTATAGTTATCCAGAAATGAAGTGACTTTGTACAATAATTCTCTACCAACAACAACAAAAAAGATGTCTCCTTTCACTGCCGTGCTCGTTACCAGGTTACTAAGCGCCCTCCATTGGCACTCGCAAGTTAGTATAAACAAACATTCATTCATAAATGTTCTGTCCTCAACAATGATGCTGGAGTCAGGCTGGAGTCTACAAGCTGTGATTAACCTCCTCTAATGATAACCTGTACTTGTACATTCACAGGGGACCAGGACCACAATATCTCACGGCTGCAGTGCATGTGGACTCAACAAGCTGTCAGGTAATTTAAGAGATGCCAGTTTTTCCGGCTATAGCTGGAATTCCAGGGTTTACATGTTTTGGGAAAAACACCTCTGGCATTCTTGTCCTTCACAGCTCAGAAAAATAAATCCTTGTTTTGCGGGCTTCAAAAAAACAGAAACTAGCGTTTGAGGGAACAAACACACGGTGTTGGGCCAGAGGTTTGTCTTTTTCGCATTATTGAATGTTGATTGTTGTTGATTGTTGATGTTGATTGTCGGGTGTTTATGTTTATGTAGATTGTTGATAGTTGATGTTGATGTTGATTGTTGATGTTGATTGTTGGTTATGTTTATGTTGATTGTTGATTGATGATATTGATGTTGATTGTTGATTGAATTTGATGGTGGTTGTTCATGTTGATGTCGATTGTTGATTGTTGATAGTTGATTGTTGTTATTGATTAACGATTATTGATGTTGATCGTTGATTTTTGTTGTTGATGTTGATTGTTGATTTTGATGTTGATTTTTGTTGTTGATTACTGATGTTGGTTATTGATGTTGATTGTCATGATTGTTGATGTTGATTTGTGTTGTTGATCGTTGATGTTGATTGTTGATTGTTGATGTTGATTGTTGATGTTGATGTTGATAAACGATTATTGATGTTGATTGTTGATGACTGTTGATGTTGATGTTGATGTTACTTTTTGTTGTTGATTGCTGATGTTGATTGTTGATGTTGATTACTGATGTTGGTAATTGATGTTGATTGTCATGATTGTTGATGTTAATTGTTGATAGTTGATGTTGATTGTTGATTGTTGATGTTTATTTATTTATTTATTATCCACATCCAACAGCAGAACAAACCGCCAATTAAAGGACTGGTTAAAAAATATTATACAATTATTAAAAAAAAATATATATATATATATATATATGCAATAAATTCAGAATATGAGTTAAACAAACTTTGGCATATCTCTCTTCTGAACAGACTGTTTCGTACCATAAGGCACTCATCAGCAGAATGACGAAAAATAGAATACAAGTAGCATCTAACCTTATTTCGAATCAAGCGCGCGCACGCGTTACGCGCGTTACGTCATTGAAGTTAGTACGCGTTTACGTCACTGAAGTAAGAACACATCTGTCTCGATGCCTGCACTTGGAGACGATTTCGCTTCTCTTATTCAGTGTACCTAGATCTGGCCTACATATGATTATGTACTTCTCTGCTATACACAAATTGCATCTCTTGTTTACGTTAGAGTATGGCAGTGCTTTCAGAGCAATGTCCCATTTGATTTCATAGTCTTTCCCTTCGTCCTTTAAGTCCCATATATGTTTACTTAGCTCTGTTTGCGCCCTCTTGCTCTCGGATCTGAATGACTGCTTGTGGTACGCCAGTCTCGCCTTGAAGGTTGTGGACGTCAGCCCGACGTATGCCTCCTTCCTGCCTTCGCTCGTGACGGTGGCCTGGTACACTATGTTCTTGCTGAGGCACTCCCCGTTCAGCGGGCATTCGGCATTGCGGGGGCAACTGCATGTTCTACCACCGACGTCGTCCTCTTGTTTTACCTTCCGTTTGTTGATTGACTGGATCGTTGCCTTCATGTTCGGCATGCAGCTGTACGATAACTTTACTGTGTTCCGGTTGAGCACTTTGTGAAGCTTATGTTCCTTGGGGAAGCATTTGTCTATTATCTGAAGGAATTTCTTTCCAATGTTGGTACGTACGTTCTTGTTGTATGGCGGGTTGTACCATGTCACCTCCCTTTTTCTAGTCCTTTTCCTGGTGTTATTGCCCGGTGTGTATGTCAACAGATACTTGTGCCCGCTTTTTTGCAGAGCCTCCTGAAACCAGGTAATGTACCTCTCTATGTACATGTCCAGTCAAACCATCCACCCGCCGTCATCAAACAGATACCAGAGGGAATCAACAAGCGACTCTCCAACATCTCGTCGAGCAAGGAGGCATTCGAGAAAGCTGCCCCGGCCTACCAGGAGGCTCTGCAAAAAGCAATAACTATGTTTTCTTCCAGAAAGGTAGCTACGTAGCAATAGAAGAATACCTGGATGAACATTGTAGGATGAGAGTTTATACAAGAGAAAATCATGGTTGACACGATCAAAGGCCTTAGAGAAATCAGTGCAGATAACATCCAACTGCTCCCTCCGTTCAACAGCATGGTAAGCCTCCTGCAATAATGATGTTAGATTGGTGGAGCAATCTCTGCCACAGATGAAACCATGCTGCTGCTCGGAGATGGCTGGTTGGACGTGACACATGATATGCTCACGTGATGTTGATTGTTGATGTTGATTAATGAATATTGATGTTGATGATTGTTGATGTTGATTGTTGATGTTGATTGTTGATTGTTGATGTTGATGTTGATGTTAATGTTGATTGTTGATTGTTGATTGTTGATGTTGAGGGTTGAGGGTTGAAAAATAGCGCGTGGAGTAATTATACAGAGGATAGTTCAAAAGAGTCAGGTGAGGATGTGCACGCGCGTATGCTGCTGTACTGTTAACTTATCAAGTACAATCGTTACAAAAACCCATTAAATAGCTCATATCTCTAAACGTAAAGGTCGCACACCATTGGCACAATACAAAATATTGCTCGCCATACCCTCTTTACCCCAATGCGCATGTTTTTAGAAAAAAGCGCCCAATTTAAAAAAAGCGCCCAATTTGGCGCTTTTGCCAGCCCAATTTTTGAGTATCATATGACGTCATCATAAGTCAAAAATGTGCTTGCGTTTGAGAAGTTGTCATATAAACGTGTACAAAACACTGGTAAATACTTAAGATACATTGGTTCATCAAACAGCCGTTACATGTAGCGCAATAGTTAACATACAACAGTCGTAAAAACAGACACTGACGAAGCAAGCACGGGGATTTCCCTTTTGTGCGCAATCTGCTGTACACACAATGTACGTGGCATTAAATGAGCATTTCAAGGTGTAGGCGTGTTCAACTTCAAATTTCAAGGGGGCTGCAGGGCATCTCCAGGTTTACTTATTGAAACAAAACTTTGGGAAGTTTTAGACCTATTATTAAAGTGCCATTTAAAGCACAAAACTTGATTATATCTTTGACGGTTGATTTTTTAGCAATTTTCAAAGGAAAAGAGGTCTTTTCTTTGTAACTTCCGGTCTGATTACGTAATCAATTTCTTTTCTCGTACAGGTCTTGTCTGCATTAAGGTGAACATGTATATTACATTAAAGATTAAATTTATTATTTTTTGAAGTGATGTCACGTGACCAATGATGACGTCATGATGACGTAATTGCAAAAAAATGTATCTTCAGTGGGTTGTGTTTTCATGTATTGACAATTGAAGTTCATATCACTTTTCATGTTGACAAACAGTTCTGGAGAAGAATTTTGCTGAGAAGACCTTAAAAAAACAATAATAGTAAACTCTTACAATAACAATAGGTGTTGGGCTCAGGCCCAACACCTAAAAAGAGAAAACGACTGCATATTGTCATTCAACTACAATGTACTATAAGAAACACAGTTGTGCATTTTTCGATCATCAGTCATGGACCAATTAGAAATAGGTGATGTGCTACATATTGTCAGCGTGCCAGACGCACGTGTACCTAGCTTTATTGACTTAATTTTATTGCATGAACGCACCACATTCAATTGTGCACAGCAAACGATAGTTTAAATGTACTGGTGTGCAAGTCTAGGGTAACTGTGCATGCACTGCTCCATCGATTGCCATGCTAACAAGATACACGTATGTATGGATTGTATGTTGAATGTAGACATACATGTGTGGTATTAATATGTACATGTATGTATGCCGTATTGTGATCCTTTTGTGCAGTGTCCATTTTGTTGTGCCCTTGAGCCAAAATCCACCAGCATCTATGGTTAAACCCAAACCAACCGGGGGTCATTAACAAGATTTCTCAACATTTCTCATCCAATACCAACCCCTTGTTTTTCGTGTAAAATAATACGTATTGACATAAATTAATGACCTTCCTTTGTGGGGTTTGTGGACCTTCAACTTGACACCTTTCTTATTTCACCAAGAAGTATTGTCCATTGAAAACAGATTGAAATCAGTCTACACCAGTGCTTTATAAACACATTTAGGCAGCAGCTTATCAGACTTTTGTTTTGACTTCAGGAGCTCAGTGGATAAACCTGAAAATGTTTGTTTGGGTTTTTTTTCAAATCTTATACAATGTACATCCATCATTTAGCATGTCTAGTAATGGCAAAGAGATAATACAATGGGAGTTTGGGATCATTTCTCTGAATCATTAATAAGACATCTTTGCAAATCTCTATGAAGTTATGTATGTATTTTCAGATATAATTGGACAATTAGAAAATCTTTAAAAGGTACTTTGTCAACTGAAGATTGTTAAACCAATTGAGCATTTGATATAGTACAGATAATGGGACGTCACAGACATTACATTTTGGATATCAAAGACATTTTTGTCCACTTTCGTAAAATGCTGAAATGGTTTGAAATAATCTTCTTTCTTCCTTTCCGATAATTATCTACGGGTTTTTTCTTAAACCGTTTATGGTTTAAACTTGTATCTTTGAACTAACACCAACCCTAATTTAAATGTGTGTGTATTACTTTGATGTCATGATGACGTCATGATTCAGGTGTAAAATTACAAGTGATTTCGGTTGGAAAAAGGACCAAATTCTTTAACTTATAACTCTTGAACAAAACGATCAATAATGTTCATACACTGTAATCAGGGAGATCATTAAGTGATTAACATTTTTGTCATGTAAGTGAAGTCATTTAAACTTTACTTCTGGGGCTACCAGAAAGTCATTATTAGGTGAATTCAAAATATAGACATGATCCTCAAATCAAAATAAACCAAACAATTTTCAAATGGTTTATGAGATGATAATTAAACCTGGTACAAACTTGGGCGCCGGTCTGAAGATTTGAAAAAGGTTTATGACGTCGTCATAACGTTATCGAGTATCAAATTACAAGTGATTTATAATTATAACTTTTAAAATGATTAGAGTATCATTCTCATTTTTATGATGAGTTAGACATTGCCTAGGGCAATATTTTGGATTGCCGAGCTCAGAGCCATTAAACCTTTACTTCCTGTGTTACAGAAGTGCAATGGGAATTTAATGTAACTTGAGAACGGAAGCATTTTACTGCAATCAGATATTCTTTGGACAACTGCAAATGACTTTGCGAGGTTTCAAGATCGTGACGTCATCGAACTGAAAATTGTAATAGGGAAAATTTGAAACTGATTAATTGTCTTTTTTGGTCAAATTCATCATTAAATTCATATCCAGTGGCGATGTTCATGGCACAAATAATGATATCAGGCACAATGTTGGCATTGGGCTACCTAATGCTATGATGTCATCAAATCGGAAGTTGGGTGTTATCAGTACACACACTTATACATTTATTGTAAATTTGATACTTTCAGACATTCTTTTCACTTCATGATATGTGTCCTCTCTGAACTAAATCAATATGTTTGTATATTTCAACTGATGACGTCATTGAAACATGTACAAGTACCACCTCGCTTTGTGTAGGTGTATGCATACTGCCTAGACCAAGTGCATTCAGGCCAAGTCCAAAGTTACCTCGCGTATGAAACAAGTGCAACAAACGAAGTTTTCTTAGGGAATCATTGCTTCTTAATGAAAATAAAACTACTTCATGTTATAATGAATGACCTATTTACTCCTTCACTAACATTATATTCTAGGAAAGTTCATTCGGTTAAAAAAAAATTGAAAATGGGCTGATACTGCATTGTAACTCAAGTGCATCTCTGAACATGTTATGTGATATATTCTAGCTTTGCAACTGAATAAGGAACAAAGGTGGAGCAAAGCTACACTGCTACAAAAACTTTACACTCAAAACGTCACGGACATTACTACATGAATGCAGAAAAATGGCTTTATTTCATTAGGTGTGTCATATCTAAACTTTTTATTGATGTTCACTCTGATGGTGCAAATGTAAACCAGTGCATTTATCCTGATATAACATACAATGTTGTACACTTCTGGACATTTTGTGTGAATCGACGAAGAATCTTATCAAAGCTTGTGCAGCATCTTGAGTTAGAATTTGCTAAATCTCAATGAAATTTAGAGTTTTTGTTACACTATATGCATGAAATCTGGCCAGTATTTCAGTGGACCAAAAACACTAAGTCTTTATTTGATTCTGACAATTAAAACCTAAAGTTTGAACTGAAAAGAAACAATGTACTTGAATGTTATTGTTTTCATCCTGAGGTAACATCTTCTGTGGCATTGCCCACGTGTCTTCTAGACTCAATTGTAGCAAAGTCTATGGTCAACCACAATTTATTGACCAATTTGTTTGTATACACAGTAATCAATTATGGTAAGACTAGGCAAGTTTTGTTTGGGTCACATCACTGTTGACAACTTGACATCAATAATGCAAGTACATGTATATGCAATGTACTTGAGAATGCAGGGACACTTGACCACAGTTTGGCCAGGGATATTTGGAATTCAATATTGGTATATAAATATAGTACGCAATGAATCCACCAATAGTTAGCCCAGTGGCCCTTGATAAATGTGCTCAATGTAACATATGTCTTTGTAATCTTAAAATGAGTAGCCTCATCTCTAAAAGTACATAGAATCATTTGCATTATGATGCTTCGGTATGGGGGGGGGGGTAACAACTAACCTGTTGAAGTGGCAGCTCAGTGGATACTATACATTTTGAGAAACAGAGAAAACGCATGCACTATGTTGTGAGTATCTTAACTACATTCCGTTGCTAATCAGTAAAACACTTCTAAAAAAATTGTGCCTACAGACCACTTTTTTTAAACCATCTTCACTTTTCTACCAAATAACACCATTTGAGATGGAATAATTGAACAGGATGTTTGATACCAGTCAAGTCTAGACTTTAAGTAAGTTTATTGTCATTGACTTGATTGCAAAGGAGTCTATGTGGTTTAAAACTGAAAATCTCAGTTAGCAAAACTAATAACAGGTTTTGTGGACTCGCTGAGAATTTGTTATTATCTGGTTTATACTTTGCAGAGCAGTGACTCTCAAGCGAATGCTGGATGGACTCAACATAGTGCCTGTCCCAGCCAAGCAAACAGACCAAAATCAAGAGGCATCAAATGCAGAGATTACAGCCACACGTCCCTGGCATGCAGTTCATCCCAGCATTATAAACCAGGCAGCATTTCTACTACTTGGCACTGCCTCCAAGTCTCATAAGCCTCTCCTAGACCGACCAGTCTGTGGTAAGACAGAATCATGTAATGACTGAATAATGAACTTATGTACTGGCCTGTGTATGTTTGTGTGTACATGTGCATGTAAATCACACAACAACTTGGACAATTGAAATATTGAGCAATTGGGGGTGTAAGGATACCAAATTTCATGAAAAGATACAAATGATATGAGGTCATGATACAATACATATCACAATACGTTAATTGAATTCAATTAAGTTGTTGCAGTTATGGCAGCTGTGCTTGACACATATAGTGATATGTACTCCTTGTAATTTCAAGGTTGTCCAAAAGCTGTTCCTATGCATTGTGGTCTATTGTCCTGAGGGTTATACTGCTTTAACACTGCTATAGCTGCTTTCTGTGTTATCAACTTCCATTTTTTTTGGGGGGGGGGGCAATTTTACATGGTTTAAGTTGAGGATGTGACATTTACAGGCTGAAACGTTTTAATGAGAAAAAAAATCTAAATCCGTTTGCAAATTTGCCAAAACGTTTAAAGATATAGTCCATCATTTGTAATTTGTGCATTTTGTTCGTTTGAAGCAACAAAAGTGTTCAAAATCCAATGAAGGATACTGAACAACTAACTTGATGAAGTTTCAGCTCAGCCTCAGCTGTATATTCCGAGAAAAACAGCATTCTAGGATCTCAATTTCAAATCAAAAGTTGCTGAATCATGTGTTGAATTCGTTTTAAATTGCAGCTATACGCGATGTCGCGCACTGATCCGATGAATTATAGCAACCGCGCGCGCCTGTGCGTCGTGCCAATGCTTGCGCGAGCTGCGCCGAATAACAAAACGAACTACTAATTACAATTTTCCTACGGTGCGTCTTAAGACGCACCGTAATAATAATGATTTCTTTTTAAAAAGACACTTCTGCAACCTGGCTTTGTGATTCGTTTAAATGTAAAAATCACAGGTATTACCTTTTCAGTATTCAATCCAACATCATGGACTTGCAGCCAGTTATAAATACAACTCAAGCTCTGTTCCTCTTAATAACCTGTGCAGAAGCAAACCTGTGCAAATGTACATTGTGTATTTGAAGAATCATATTTATTTGAAAAGATACAACTTGAGCTGCTAATCTTATAAGCTAGGGACAGCCAAATCATAACAAAATCATTTTGATCCATCAAATAAGGTAATGTTATTGTTACACACTTGAAAGGAATGAATAATCTCCGTTGTAGATGATACACTTCGTTATTAATGCACATATATCCCGTTACATGCATACAGACGTGCCCGAGTAAAAAATGTACTGGGTTAGGTGGCAGCGTTTTTGACAAGGTTAATTAAATGTTCGTAACGTTTAAATGGTGCTTGATAATTTTGCCAAACATTTACCAAATTAAACCCATCCTCAGTTTAAGTTATGTTCATAAATCATATTCGGTTAATTTGTCCACAAATTTTACTTTTGGTGCCTGAAATAGTTGGTTTAAATTTATTTATACCAATTTATCGTGATACAAAATGTGTATCTTGATCATGTAGCGGCCTTTTGTATCTGTACTGTACCACACCTTAAAAAAGTTGACTTGGGGTGTGGCTGATACATAGATAAATCAAGCAGTACATTTGTCCAGCTTTACAGAGTCCTAATCAAGTCATCACTTGTCAAGCACAAGTCAATCACAAGTATCTAGTGTCAAGTTAAGTGACAAGTTCTGTAATTCCTTTGTCATCATTCATCCCTGTTACTACTGACCTGACTAGTGGCTGGATGTGATTGGCATGTGATTGATGTGTGATTCTCTGGGTGAATGGACCAATTACAACTCCTGCCCATCACATCCCCACAAGTAAAAACCCTTTCAACACGTCGTCATCTTTATGAGACTCATTTTGAAAGCTTCTCTTTAACAAAGCAATATGGTAGATGAATTTCTTAGGCTTATGTGTTTTTGTTTTTGTATTTGTTGCTATTTCCTCACAGAGTCTCTTGAGGATCGTATCAAGCACTTTGCCAAAAAACAACGTGTGGACTCCAGTGATTAGAATGCACCTGGACTCTCCTTAGAACAAATCTTGAACCCTAACGATCCTCAACAAGCCAAACTCCAGCATCAGGGTTTGTTGGGATGTGGTAGGATGAGTACTGCACCAGTAAACTGACTGTGCTTTACATCGGATTAGGGATACCACAAATAAACAGAGTCCAACTGTTTAGGCCAACTAAAAAAAAACATGTTTGGCAGCCTGCCTTTTTGAGAAAAAAAAAGGAAGGAGGAGGCCCTTTTTATTCCCTTCCAAAATGGCCGCCCAACCGGGCTATTTTTCAAGATGGCCGCCTGCTTTTTTTTTTTCAATGGCTGCCACTTGGACTCAGGAAATGATATACCAGCTTTATAGGGACTAGTTGCAACTATTTTTGGACTATGTTAATGGACCTTGCTTGGTCAGTGGGATAGGGCAGGGAATATCAGTGTGTGGCTCAAAGGGGTTGGGATATTATTGGACAAGACGTGTATACCAAATGCCCCTCCTAACAAGTGACAGAACATTCTCATTCCTGTAACATTGTGTAATCTAGATACTACTTCTGCATTCTCTGGCATTTTTAATTGCTCTTCAGTGATATGTTGTATTGGCCTTATTTGGAATGCCCAGTGGGAGGTTAGCCCCACCCTACCCCACTCCATGCCCATGGAGAAATAAAAGGAACACATAAGGCCAAGTACAAATATAACGTTTCTCTTCACTGCCCGCTCTAGTTTTGGACACCCGTGTCAATTTTTTTCTATTACATCTATTTAAAAAGAAAGGTTTTTAAAAACAGTTTTAAAAAGTATATCTATTCCGGATCTCTCATACCTGTTGTCAAGTGTACCATTCATTTTTTATATTATTATCGCCTCTACAAAATTATTTATCCCTCTCACGTGACAAGTCACTTTCTAAATAGTGATCGCGCGTGCATGTTAGACCCAAGTACACGCGATTTTATGTGACATGTTCTATAAATTCTGTGATGGGTCAAAATTTTTATTTCGGTCCATGCCCGTTTGTGCCTTAGGCCAAAAAAAAAGTCTCCAGTTTCTGGTATGCGCGCACGTCGCCATAGCCATGCGCGTCGGCAAAATGAAAAAGGTTTTTTTTTCAATGAAAGATGATGTCTCAAAACCGCCAAACTCACTGGTTTGACTGGAATCCTGCTGCTGCACAATTTTAACGTGTTTTTAGATGGGGTTATGATCGAGAATAAGCTTTCTGTGGCCTCTCTGGACTCCCATATATTTGCACTAAGTTTAGTCGGGCACCATTTGCAGTCATCAGCCGACATTTGAAGCAAAAAAGTCAGGTAAAAAAAAAAAAAAAGCTGCATCGCCGCACCACTTTTTGGGCAAGCTCCATACCAGAAACCAGAGACTTTTTTTTTGTCCTTAGTCTGAGAAGTACCGGTTATCCACGGAGCCAAGTCTTCTGTATAATGTCTGATACACATATGTCTAGACATGCAGATAATGCAAACCACGCGCCAGCCAATCGGAGTCGACTTAACTAAATTGTGACGTCATTTCATTCCCAAATCAGGACTAAATGGTTTGATTGGTCAATTCGAATGCAGTGTTTTGTAATGCAAGAGCCGGGCGCATATCGCATATCGAGACAGAGCGTGTGACACAGGTTTTTTTTATCCATTGTCTATGACGTGACAATGGGTAAATTGACCGAAGACCAGATATAGAAAGCGCCCGCTGATTGGTCAAAATCTAGAGGTCAAGAGGCAGTTGTCTTGCATAATTAATCAGCGAATCTGCTCACATATCATAGACCATGGCGAATTTATTACATCGACTATATTGGATGTATGTAGGTAAATCTTCGCGTGGTTATCATTTGCGTTCTAATGTACGTATATACGCGACGTGAAAACAGACTTGATCAAACAAGGAGACCTTACAGTGAAAATTGAACGCAACGAAAATTCGTTTTCACCCATCTCCAACTGATTTCTCATCTTATGCTGAGGCAATTTGTCAGAGTTTGTAATAAACATGAGATCTAATAATTTAACCATTTAAAAACAGTTAATTTAATTAGACACAAATTGATGCAGGTTTGCTTTCTGAATTTAATGATTTTTTCTTCCTGTCCTTTCATCTTTGCCCTATCCCCTTATTGTTTGACTCGCCAGCCGGGCTACTCGAGGAATATTATACAGAGATGAAACTTTTCTGATTTTAATCGGAAATCCGACTTTTTGAATTTTCCAACGAGATTTCCGATTTTCTTACAATGTGTCCCACAAAATTTAATTTTGTAACGATTTTTTTTCACAAAATGTCATTTTATTTCAATCATAATTTCGAAGAAAAGTCGATGGAAAGTCGATGGAAATGGCACGTTAAAATCATCGCGAATGTAGTTTTAATCTCTTTCACCAGTCGTTATTGGAGTATTTCAACGGTAGAAACACAGGCCATGACACAGATTGGAGCCTTTTCTGGCTGGACAAAAGGTTAAACATTGACAGGCCACATGGAAAATCACTGTGTCGCTCGTGCGTGCACAAGATGTATGCAATGGTACCAGCGTACGTACCGCACCGTACCGTACCGTCCGTTAGCTTGTACAAAATGCAATGCTTTAAAAATCATGATGATTATCTCGAGGATAGCAAAGTAGGTACGGAAGACGGATAGTGCCACTCAATAAGGTTGAATATATTTTTTTTTGTACGTGTGAAAATATTTTTGTGTACAGCGGCCGCCACTCGTTATGTGGCGGCCGCCACTCCGGACACTCCACTGTCCGGGGGTCAACCCCCCAATTTTGAGGTGGACCGTGAATTAGGGTGCGCACAAAATGTTTTTGCTTTTTTTTTTGTCATTTGGACCCTGAGCATTTTTTTTTAACAGTAAAATATGAAAATTAGCTTCCGCAATAAGGAAAAATATAAGTTGTGTATACATCTCTACAGGATTTCATCACAACTTATCAATGGAGGTACCCAGACCATGTTTGGGGGTAAATAACACATTTTGTGCAAAAATACGCAGATTTAATAGCTCAAATCATTATTGTAAATACAGTGTTTCCTAAATATCTTGATCTATTGTAAGGAGACACAAAATTAGCCTACACTGCAAAACAGAAATTATATTTTATTCACCACACAAGTTAACCTACGTACGAATCTCGATCATGCCAGATTACATAAAAGTAAAACAAAAGTATAGTACAAAATGCAAAAACTTCACCCAGGGTGTACAGTTTGGTAATGCTTAAAATAAATGCAAAGTGCACTTTTGGTTCAAAATGTACTTAAAGTGCTTGTGCATCCTCGCGTCTGTCCTGCGTTGGTTAATTGTGATTTGTAAAAAAAAACTCTGATGTTCAGAAAACGTTGACATTTGGAGGAAGTTTTGTTTGTGGAAATATCTTTTACGGATTCTTTCCAAATTTTAATGGGATACAACGTCCGGGGGAAACGGATTTAATTAAACTATGGGGGCTTTCCATAGCTCCAGTATGAAATAATGTATGTATCCTCTGTTTTAATCATAATATAGCTGTATGGTTTTAATACACAACAGACGCGCGCTGACATGAGGGAACTCAAGTTATTCTCCCGCAAAGGCTGCATAATGAAGAGTTTAATCAAGTTGAAGATATTTTGACAGTAGAATGCACATGCTTCAACACTTCCTATTAAAGAATTGTTTCGCACGCTGAATTGTAACCAAAGCTTGTATTGATTTGTGTATGGGTTATAATAAGACATCCAACACAAAAAGACAACTATTATTTTCAAAAAATTATACATTACATGTCAAAAGTTCACCGTTTCCCCATCAGATTTAATTTTGTTCGGGACATAATGGTGTCTTGCATCAAGAATCACTCTCCAAATCATATTTTAATCTGAATTAGGAAAAAAACTGCCATGGTGAATGCGTTTTAATGAAACAGACGGACATTATTAAGTTTTGCCAAAGTCAAATAATCTTCGATCTTCATCATTGTTTGAAAAAGAAACCGAGAAAATAAAGACGCGCTTTTATGGGGTCCCCTATAGCGGACTTTCGGCAACGGTGCACTTTTTGGGACGGTTAGGGTGTCGCCTGGGAAGAAAACTCCACTAACCTATTAGAAACCAGTACCATTGACTACAAATGATGATTAAGCCCAATTTAATCATATTTATGGACGGCGCAGACACCGAGAGAAGTTTGAGAAGATCCCTGATGTGGTTAACGATTACGTCACAAGCTGAGCGCGTGAGTAACTGGTGGTCATTGGTGGAAAGTTCTTCTGCGTACATGTAGATGCACGCAATAGTTCGCATCGCGTCATTCTCGATTCCACCTCTGACCGGAAAAAAGGCTGGTTTTTTTTGCTCCCATAACCCACCACCACCCCATCAGCCACCTTTGCTCTCTCTCCCCCCCCCCCCCTTTCTTTTCTCTTTTGGGTTCAGAAGCTTCGCTTTCTTGTACTTGTTTCGCGTGTTTTCCCCACACCACTGCTGTTTCAGCCAGTGTGTAAAGCGACATAAAGTTGTGCGCATATGCCAGTTTTACATCCAGGTCAATTCAAATGCATAATTCATGAGGGGTGACCTGCGACAGAGGGACGATCTAAAACCTCAAATTATCGATAATAATTGACATTAGGGGCTTTTCAATTCGTCACCAACACCACGAAGTAACGCCCATATCCGGTAAAACGACAGAGTATTTTCAGTTGGGTTTCTCGTTGTGGACACTTAATGAATTGAATTTATTAAATCTGCTGTTTTTCACCCGTTTGTGTATTAAATAAACAAGAAATAAGAGAAAAAAGATGAGAGTTAGTTCGTGAAACCGAAAAAAGCTGCGAAACTGTAAATGTTTGTTTTCACGAAGTAACACTCTTCAATGTATTCAACACGAGGAAAGTGCAACTTCAGGTCAGCGCGCGCGAGAAGAGTGTTACTTCGTGAAAACGTTTTTGTTCACTTACGAGCAGAGTGCGTACATGTACGCGCCATGCATTGCATTATCCCGTTGAAAAGTAATTCACTTCACGTTAAACATTAACAATCATAAATTCACAAAAACGTCTATTGGCAGGTTGCCTAAAAATGACACTTACAAATGCAAGATTTGCTTTAAATCATATTGAGTTCATATTTAAGATAAAACGACTCTCACGGCTTAAATGGAATATCGGAAATTTAGCAAAACTCTTGTCTGATATATTACGAGAAATGATTTGATAAAAAATCACTATAAAAGCACTTATTGCCAACATTAAATCTGGGGCACTGAAAACAAAGACAAATTTGTGTTAATTTCAAGATTTAAAATGGGGAGCGCCGGGGGGGGGGCATTTGTTGCAGGACATTATATTCTTTTTCATTTCGTTCGGAAAAGAAAAATCGAAATTTTGAAAAAGCACGTATATAATTATACCAACAATAACCCTTCAAATTCCCAAAACTATACTATCATGCGTTGCATGTTCGTCAAGCTTAACAGCTTCTCCATAGATGATACCCAAACGCTTTGCATCAAAGCAACAATACCCTTTCAATGAAAACAACTTTAATGGCATCATTAATCATCCGTCTTTGTGCCGCTTCGTGTGTGGAAAGGAAATAGACGAGCAGACGTTTTGCATTTTTTTATGAACATCAACAAAAGAGACAACCATTAGTTGCCTCTGCACGCCGCATTTGGTCAAATTCCCAGTCTCGGTGTCGTCGGGTATTAGTTTCTAGGAATGCTATTCAATAATTAAGAAATATCAAGTCCGTTTGCGAAAATAATTTACACGTTTCAAAATGTACCACAAACGTATTGACACTCAACTTTCCTTTAGTTCT